GTGTAAGTCGTTTAGATATTGTAATTTAAATAGTGTAAATAATTAGAGCAATATAATGTAAATAGAGCTAGTGTTGTAAGTAAGCATTGTTTTCCCTTGTGTTATTGCAAATAAAAAAAAAAAGGAAAAGAAAAAAATGATACATATGTAGACAAATCACATTAATTAGCCCTTTCTCGTTTACAACACGTTCAGTACTACACCTCGCCTAGACGAAAAACCCCAGGATTGGCAACTGAGCAGATCAGTACGGTGCAAAGCGGCGCATTAATATGAACACAAATTTCCCTCAGCCCAGGACTTCTCATGCACAAATATCATCAAAACCCCAGCCTTTCTCAGACTTTGAGTATCTTTCCGGAAACGAAAAACTATTTCCTTCTGAGAAATAGCTTCTTGTTGTGTCTTCAAACATAACGATAGCCCATAAACTAACGACAAGCACCTCTTATAGCACAAGATATGGCAATTACCCATGAAGTTTCTTCGATGTTTCTATTGCATGACCCGGGTACATGAGGTATCCTTTGGTGTGTGATATTTTTTAGCGTGTGTCGAGAAACAAGCGTGAACCAATCATGGAACGCATTTCCAACCTCCACTATGGCGAGTGACGATGTCAATTCCATCAACGACCAAATGCTTTCAACGAACAAAGACAATCTTCAATAAAAAGAGCTTTAACCTTCTAAATGCCATTAGGGATTTCTTAAAGGTGCAAAATTCCTGCCGACTTTTGTAACTCACCTACATGTAGCTACAGGCCGAATAATTCAATCTCACGCCTAAACACGCCTTCAGACAAATTTATCACGGCCAAGTCAAAAGTTTGAGCTATCATAGTCCCAATCATATCTATAACAAAATTCTCGATCGCGATTGGTTCTCCGCAGGCCTATTTGTCACGTAATTGGTAATCACGTGAGTGTCCAATTACAGGTATCCAATTTGAACTTTTTGTAATTGGATGCCTATGCCATTCGCACGTCAATTACGCGCGCTTTAATGGCTTCCTTCTTAATGTTTCCTACAGTTTTTTAACTCAAGAAAAGCGCTATAATCCTTTTCGCTCAAAAGAAATTCAAAAGACACTTTTAATTCCGAAATTTGTTATAGATACGATTACTTAGAAATTGGACCTCGTGTCTTACAATTCAGGGGGTAATCGTGCACGTAATTTCAAATCGGCCTCGCGCTTCGCGCTCGTCCGATTTTGAACTTACTCGTGCGTTTACTTTCTGAATTGTACGACATGAGGTCCAGTTACTATTACTACTGAAGTGACACACTTTGAAAATAAATATTTAAATTCGAATCAATGCCGGAAAAGATAACTCCATGTAAAATGACGGTACACTTCTCCAAATTCTTAGTTTTTGCAAGGAAATGTACTGGCGACAGCGTTATGTTTGGCGGATGGCACCGGCAAAATGCACCATCGGAAATTTTCAGAACGCCCTCGGAAATGTTGGGATACGTATGGGTCTCACTTGAAAGTTTTGGCAGGTCCAGGTTAAATTTCTTACGCCGGTGACTCGGTCACTATTTTCTCTATAATTGCCACAACAAAGTGGTCCCTCTGTTTGGAACGACACAAATTATTGAAGATTAACATGCTCAGTCTGGGAAAAACTGGAAATCCTCTTGAGGGATTCAATTAGCCCTATTAGCCCTCTTCGCGGAGGTGAAAAAAACATGTCATTAGCCAAACAACAAAAACAACGACAACAAATTTTTATTCACTAAAACATGTGCGAAAGTTGCGGCGATTTTATAGGGACAAAGGCATACTATAACAAGAACTAGAACTCTTCCCTGATCAATAGGCCCTTTCGACTACCTTTCCCGTCACGCAATGAACTCCTCCAGGTTCGGCTGACCATTAGGCCATTGCGCCTCCCTTTAGATGGAAAAACAAAAACCGCAAGCGTGCCTTTATCAACTTTCAGTCGATAATCAACTAAATGGCACCCACTTAAACACTTGGAGTTAGTCCAATCACGCTACAACGTCTCCCACAGGGGTTGCGCCCCCTTATGCTTATGCCTAAAGGTTTTTTTTTTTTCATTTTTAGTTTGTTTTTGACTGTTCAATGAAGTATGTTGTGTAACAAATGGTTGAAATGAAGCCGTCCTATTCGATTTAACGTGGAAGTGGTGTATGCGGCTTTTTATCTTGGTCTCGTCTCAATTCTTTATCGAACGTACATTTACTTGCACGCAGCGCTCCTTCTTCGGGTACTGGACACAAATCAACCTTCAGGGTCCTATCTCT